TTTAGATTCCACATATAAGTGATCTCATATGATATTTGTCTTTCTCTGTCTGATTTACTTCACTTAATATGATAATCTCTAGGGCTACCACTACCAGTACTAAGTTTTTATTTATTATATGCCACTCTACAAGTGTTCTCCGGTGTAATACTCCCACGAACCTTGCGGGGTATAGTTATACTTACTTAACATCGGAGAAATGAAGGTTCTGAGGGGGTCCTGGTGCTTGGTCAAGTTCACACAGAGATTGGACTGGTAGGAACCTAAACCCCAGAGGCCGGCTCTCAACCGTGACCAAAGTGGCACCCATCCTTTCTGAGTCCCTTACACTCACCTCCCTTATTAGCACTTGAAACCTCTCCTGTTACAAATCACGGTGGAAAAGAAAATGCTTGGGAGACTACCGCCCAGGCCGACTGGGGAGTGTTTGGGAAGGGCAGCCTTGTCGGTGCAGGGTATACGCTTTGGTCTGCAACCGCGGAGCACGTCCTGAAACCCAGCAGGGACAGAAGCTGGCCCTACCCACGCCCCCGGGCGGCGCCGGTGGCAGCACTCACCTCCTGGCTGCGAATTCCGCGAGGTGGCTGCCGCGCCCACGCCCCCGCGGGCGCCAGGACGCGGGTGCAGATCCCAGACCCAGGGGTGATTCTTATCTCCTGTCCCCGGGGCGGGTCCAAAGGCTGCCAGACTCAGCCAGGAACTTGAGCCCGGGACAGACGGCAGGCTCCCGAAGTCTCTGCGTGCAAGGGAGTTAAAAAGCTAGACCTACTTTCAGCTGAAGACCCCAACCCCCTTTTGGCTTCTGTCCCTGGCCTATAGTTTTCACTGTGTCCAAAAAAGTTGGCCCCAAAGTTTAAGGATGCGGATAAGTGTGTGTGTGTGTGTGTGTGAGAGAGAAAGAGAGAGACAGAGCGAGAGCGAGAGCGCGCGTGTGACATGGCTCCCCTCACCAGAGTCGCAGACACCGGCAGACCCCTCTCCAGGACCCGAACCCGCGGGCTCAGTACAGGCGGGAAAGGGCAGGCGCGCGCCTCCAGGTCGGGTTCAGGGGTTTTTGAGGAAAATGCGGCGGCGGGCGGGGGTGCGGCCGACTCCCGGGGCTGGCTGACCGACAGCGTGGCCAGCCACTGGCCGAGGGCGATGAGGCGGCTTAGGGCGGCGTGAGTGCGTGCGTGTGTGCGTGAGTGTGAGCGCGAGGGTGAGTGTGCGAGCCTCCCCAACCCCCACCTGTTTGAAATGGTCTTAAAATGCCAAAGCCAGCTTGCCCGTGTTTTCAAAAGTTGAAAACACTTAGGGTAATACACGTGCGCGTCCCTCAAACCTCCAAAGGGATTTGCTGAGGAGAAAGCACTGAAAGAAAAGGAGGAATAAGAGGGGTCTAGGAAGGGGGCGGGGGTAAATTGCTTGCTCCTGAAGGGTCGGTTTTAGGACCCAACGGGAAGCACATTGGAATCTCTCCCTTCGGGAAGGCGGGGTGGGGCGGGCCGGCCGGCCGGCGGCCGCGGGGCGCATGCGCGCGCGTCTCCTCTCGCCGGCCGCTGCGCTCGGCGGCGCGGAATAGAATGAACTGTAACAAAACAAGCCGAGCCTTTGTATCTGCTTAAAGGGGCCGCAGGCACTTCCCTCTTGTCCCCTCCACCCCCTCTCCGTAGCCGCGTCTCCAGGGCTCCCAGCAACTGGCTGGAAGGGCTTTCCTCACCCTCAGGAACAGCCCGCCAGCGAGGAAAAGCGAGCCAGGCGGGAAGCAAAGAGGAGACACCGCATTTCTAAGAGGCAAGAAAGAAAGGAAGGAAGGAAGGAAAATAATAATCCAACCGGCGCAGAGTGGACTCTGGTCCGGGAGAGCACCGTCAGACGCCGGAACGTGGACCGAGAAGCACCGGAATGCAAACAAAGCTCGCGGGCGCCTGTGGAGGGCTCGCGGGGAAGCCCAGAAAGTTTGTTTTATGATGGCTTGAGTGCGCGAGTGTGTGCAGGGAGCGAGCTGCCAAGTTTCTCTCTCCGTTTGCGTTATTTGGGGGGAGAGGTCTCTCCCATGAACCAGCGGGGGCTTGGGGACTTGTGCTGTGGGGGGCACCTGTCTCTCATTTTATTTTTAGTTTTTTGGGGGGGAAGAGGGACGTAGCTCATCATGTCGAAAGTGATCCAGAAGAAGAATCACTGGACTAGCAAGGTTCACGAATGCACTGTGAAGCGGGGTCCCCAGGGCGAGCTGGGGGTGACGGTGCTTGGGGGCGCGGAGAACGGGGAGTTTCCATATGTCGGAGCGGTGGCGGCGGCTGAAGCGGCGGGGCTTCCCGGCGTCGGCGGCGAGGGCCCTCGGCTGGTCGAGGGGGAGCTGCTTCTGGAGGTGCAGGGGATCCGGGTGTCCGGCTTGCCCCGCTATGACGTACTGGGAGTCATCGACAGCTGCAAGGAGGCCGTCACCTTCAAAGCCGTCAGACAAGGTAAGATGGGACGCGCCTCCGGGAGGCGCCCCCAGAATAAGGGAGCGGCCTGCGGAGGGCCCCCCACCATCTCTATTTCCCGCTTTCCTCCTGCGAGCACAGCTGAGAGGGGAAGCTGAGGCCATGCGCCCTGTGGTGGTGAAACACGAAGTTGTTGAGAAGTCGTGGGTTATTTGCCCCACCTGCGTTGGGAAGAGGGGCTCGGGTTTGCGCGGAGAAGCGCGGAGATTTTTTCCCAGGCCTGCTTTGCCAACCTGTTCTCTCAGCCGCCAAGTGCAGCGCTGCTTCGCTAGCACCTGGAGGAGAGTTGGGAAACTGAGGCAGGGGTACAGTGGACGCTCTACTGGCTCCCTGGGGGAGTGTTGCAGCAGGCGCAGCTGCTGCGTTCTTTGGCCACTTGTCCGTTTCCAGACCTGGAGCATGGGTCTAAAGGGGATGAGGGTCTTTGGTTATTGGACGTCCTCCATCAGAAAATTCAGCTTCATCTCGCAATCATCCAGGTGGGTTGGGGCATCACAGCCTGGCGGTTCCAAAGACGGCTTCCTGAACATCCTGCATTCACTCCACAGCTGGATGACGCATGTCTGCACCGTGTGGTCCGGCCCCAGGCTTGGAGGTGGGGGTGGGGGAGGGAATGTGGGGGTATTTCAGCGCGAGTCAAGCCCAAGTTTATACTGCCATCACCATCACCACCACCACCACCATTATCACTGCTATTTCTTGTTAGCTTGCTACTTGCCAGGCTCTGTGTAAAATGCTTTCCTTGCACTATCTTGTTCTGATTTTCAACAATTCTTAGAGCGAGTTGTTCTTATAAGACCCATATTACAGATAAGGAAACTGGGACTGACCGTTGGTTCAGCTACTTGCCCAAGGTCACATAGATGCCAAGAGTGAGGGTTTGAGCCTTTGCTGCAGAGCCTTAAGCACGTAGGAGGTGGGGGCATGACCCTCGGAGACCAGAAGGGGTGCACTTGAGAGGAGGGAGTGGAAGCAAATTTGTCTCTTGGAAGCCTGGAGAGGAGTGATGACCTTTTTGATGGCTACTGGTGGTAGGGAGTCCCTTACATCTTGGTTTGGTGCAGGCAAGGGGCTGGCCCTGATAGAGTCCAACAGAGAAGGACTCCATTCACTTAAAGGAATCCCTTGTACCACCGATCACCATGAAGCAGGTTCTCCCCCATGAACGCACTGATGAAAAATTCCCATATGTGCCTGTGGCCTGGAAAGGCAAGCAGCAGCTGGAGGAATGTGAGAGAGGAAGGAAGGGCTGGGCTGAGTTGGTCCTTTCTTGGAAACAGGCCCTTTCCAGATGAAATGGAGGAGAGAGACAGGGAGAAGAGTCGGGCCTTTTGGTAGCTTTGGGAGCTGAGGGATAAACAGTTAACAAATGCTCATCTTCCGCTTGGACACCTCCTCCAAGAAGCCCTCCAGGATGAACAAATCCTTCTTCCTCTAGACTCCCTTAAATGTGTGTCTTGTAATTTTTTTTACTTACCCCGAAGTATGAGTGGTTCTCTCCTCTCATTTCCATACAAGATAGGAAGCTTATTGAAGGGAGAGACTATGCCCCACTCATTGCAGGTCTCCCCAGCTTTGTTTGAGGTCCAGCACCTGAAAGGTCTCACCGGAGAATGTTCTCCTGCATCTGTAAACTGACTTTCCTCTGAGTATTACATAAACTAATAAGTACAAAGGGTGCAGAACAGTGCCTGGCACATAGTAAGTGCTCAATAAAGATGAGCTGTTATTGTTATGTTTAAGTTGAATTTGGGCAGTTATTTATTTATAAGTTGAGCCTTTAGTGTCAAGAAACTGAATTATGTCGTTAATGCCAGTACCTGGATTATGACGACTTAACAGAGTTGGAGAGAAAAGACTGGGTCACAGCATTTGATGGAATCAGAGGTGGCTCTGCAGGTCAGTGGCATTTGGAGGAGGGATAGGCAGGGGTACCTGCCTATCCAGTGGGGGTGTCTACTGGTGTCTGCTGGGTACTGTGGGGGCTTGTTTTCAGAGTGCAAGATGCTGCACGGGACTGAGCCTCCTCCCCCCGCCAGTATCAAAGATCAGGAGACATTGTCCCAGGGCTGCCTCATCATGGAACTTCAAAAGGGTTGATCAGATAACCAAGTGTGTTTGGAATCAGACACGTCGGGATTCCAAGGAAACTAGTTTCTCTCCATCATATCTCTTGTTGCCGGGAAATATCCTGTTTGCTACACAGGACTGCTCACAGAAAGAGAGAGAGAGGGAGGGAGGGAGGGAGTGTGTGTGTGTGTGTGTGTGTGTGTGTGTGTGTGTGTATGTGTGTGTAAGTAAAATCTGCTTGTTCTTGTAATGGGATAGAATAAAGGTGTGGATGGGAACACTTAAATGGCCTGGGATCCAGTACAATGTGACTGCTACGATTTCATGTAATGATTACCCTGGCGCAGTTAGCTCTTCTAACGTCTTCATTACAGAAAGATGGCACTAGAAAGCATTTCACCAGTCTTCTCTTTCATATTAAGAATATGATTTAAATTATACTACAAAATTGCTCTAACTATGTTTTCATTACTGTGCTTTAATCATGTTAGGTAGGCTCAGACTTGGCACGTGGTAAAGGAAAGTGTGACTTTTGTCTTGTCTGCACCTTGGGCTAGCCACTGCCAGGGACACGGGTCACTGTGGGTGCTGTCTGTAGGGAAATGTCATGGTCTTTTTCTGGAAGAAAATTCTGCTGTTTCTATTTCATGGCAGCTCTGTGGAAAGATGCACCAACCAAAATAGTCTGTAGCAAGTGGTAGTATATGAAGCAGGACTAAATTGTGAAGGAATCAAGCTAAATGGATCTACCAGGTTGGAGGTGGTTCATTTTTAAATGGAGAGGACAGTCTTTTGTCACAAAAGTACCTAAAAAAGTTTACATGTATATGTTATATATATAAAGTAACATTTTATTATGAAAAAGCATATTATGAAAATACATTCTATATGACATATATATGTACTTTATAAGTAGGTATTTCCCTATAGTAAAATGCACAGCTCTTAAATGTATACTTTGTTGGGCAAATCAAAAAACAAATGTATATGCTCATGTTAGCTTCACCCAAATCAAGATAAAGAACATGTCCATCAGCCCAGAAATGTCCCTCATGTCCCATTCTAGTTAGTTCCCGCCACTTCTTCTGGAGGTAATGGCTGTTTGATTTTTCTCACCTTGGGTTAATCTTACTTATTTATTGAAATTCATTTAAATGAACTTCTGCGGTTTATACTCTTTTCTGGCTGACTTCTTT